GAACGTCTATTCTGTGGGGACCATCCAAACTAACCGGTTTCATCGCTCAGTTGCAAGCCCAGCTACTACAAGTGGGGTCGGCCAAATTTGCAAACACGGTAAGGAAGGTGCTTATTCTGCTGGTTGTTCACATTGCTAACTATTACTGTATGTGTCTAAAGATGTACTCACCTAGACCAGTTACACCATTGCATGGCGACGTTCCACCGTCCACCCACCAGCTAAAGATGGACGACGAGTGGGTGGAAGTGAATGGAATTCGAAAGCGGCGTCAACGGCAGTGCAAGGTCTGTACTATACGGAAAACGAACAGAACACAGCGGCAGGTGACGCGATTCTACTGTCCCGGTTGCAGTAAAGGCTCCAAGTGGTACGTTGCTATGCTCTATCGCTCTTACTACTGGTATCGAACACGTATAATGCAGTGTCTACGTGTGTGACAAGGTGCACCAAGTACATTACCCAAGTAACAACCAGACTTGCTTCTCCATTTGGCACCAACTTTGGCGCAATGGAAGCGAGCGCCCACAGCCGCGCCACGGCCGCGGTATCCAGCTGAGGGCCCCACCAAAAAAGCGGACGGGAGGACAAGGCGGCTGTGAAGAGGAGGGGGCGGTGGGGGCGAGGAGGAGGCCGCACGGCTCGGCAATGAGGGAAGTGATGGTGGTGAAAATTCTGATAGTGATCCGAACGAGACAACGGAAACTGGGAGTGACGACGCGGTAGAGAGAAAGCACCAAGAGTAGGAAACAGTGAAGCTGCGTAGGTAATAGGTCAAATGAATTGCTTTTAGCAAACAAATGCAATACACAAATTTGCTTTCGTAGCCGTTCTGCACGTGACTTCGTCAAAAACGATTCATTCCCAATAAAACAGCCATTTGTACATGCACGATGTCGCGTATGGGCTTTACGGAATCTACTCACCATGCTGGATATAAAGCATGTAGGTCCGTAATACGTACGATTGCAGGATCTTGTACAAATATACAGACACCTATCTTTTTTTTCCTTTACAAATTTTGCGCTAAGACTTTTTTTAACATGCTTGATATCAAGCATGTGAAAAATAGTCTGTGCATTCAAGATTTGCTCTCGTAACGGGGGGGATTTATCCCTATTTCAATAATATTGAAAGGATTTAAATACATTATATTAATATTCGTCTATCTAAATATTGCAATTTTAATTAGCAAAGTAACTTTTGCCGACAACACTACCAGCCCAACTCTCTCGTTAAAAATCAACATAATATTACCTAAAACATTTTTTTAAAGATTGCGTAATCGGTTTAAACCCACCAATAATATGTCGTAAAAGATCGACTAGCTGAAGTATTACTAATCAACACTGACTGGGACACTTGTGAGAGTGACGGCAAGGTTGGTGTGGTGTGTTCTGCTGAGCGCATTAATCTATTAGCGTCACATGCTGCAGGTTTATGAGACGCACGATGAGGACGAGGCTATCGCTAGAGAACAAGAACAAATACCTTGATTTCGCTCAATCGACTTCAAACAACTGCAGCCGTTTGCGGGTTTCCCTCTCGATCGGTTGTCTGTGTCAGTGAATACAAGAGCAAATACTCGTCAGTTTGAAAGCCTGCCAGCACTATTACTGCCGCTTTAGAGGTTGACCGAAAGACTTCTTTGGTGAGCTATCGGCTAAGGTATCAAGAAACGTACTTAAGTGGAAAATTTCATACGATATTATCAAGTATCATTTTCTAAATTGCTAAGTTCATATTAAAGTGTCATGCTAGCTTCTTAAAAATTGAGCTTCTATTGGAATCTAATATCGAAAATAGTACTATTACTATATATTTTTTATATGATATTTGGTTACCATTAGCCCCTGGAAATGAAACATATACGCAGTTTAACGCCCTGCTCGACCTTCACACAGTGCGTAAACATCTTAGTTCTTCTGTGCGATCAACGGTGTATTGGCGGTCGAGTTTAACACTGTGGTGGAGAACAGTATCCACGAGCTCAATCTTGGGGACTTTGAGAACAAGTTGGCTGGAATTCTGAGCGGAGGTGACAAGCGTAAACTGTGTCGCTATTGCAATGATCGGCAATCCCGCCATCATCTTTCTGGACGAGCCGAGCCGTACACCGGTATATATCGTCTATTTATGGTGACCCACAGCATGCAAAAGTCGGAAGATTTGTGTTCTTGTGTTAGCATCATGGTCGGTGGACAAGTTCGCTGCTTGGGCAGGGTGCAACACCTAAAGACCCGTTTCAGTGACTCGTCGTGTTCGATATGAAGCTCGACGCGACACTACAGACGACCTAGAGAACCTGGTACAGCACATTTTCGGACAGCAAGACCAGCACGCAACTAGGCGAACAGACGAAAAGTGCTGCGCCTTGAACTATTAATAGCTAGCACATATTTCGCGGCGGCGGGGTGGGTGTAGGGAATCTACCATAGTCACATTTATTGGCTTCTTGTAAATAACATTAGTAATAATATTGCGTGGGTCGACTCGGCTCTAGCCTCGCTTTGATTTCATCCTAGCGGAAGCTTTTCTACGTGGTGTGTTATTAATGAAGAGGCCCATTCGACGCACTGAACGAGTATCTCGTGACTGCTTTCGGATCTAATGGGGTGGTGGTGGTGGAGAGTCAAAAGGACTTCTGACGCTTCAAGGTGCGCAAGTTGGTCAAGATGCTCGCATTGATTGGAGACGTCAGGACGAAGTACTTTAGTACAGCGTCTCACAGACGACTCTACAACAGCAAGGAGAAACCCGAGGTATGAATCAGGGCGAATAAGTATTGCTTACATGTTAGTACTACTGTAGTACTATTAAAACATGTAGAAGTAGTAAACGATATATATATAAAGAGATGCGGTCAAGCAAAATCTACAAACACAATTAAGGTAAACTGCCAGTTTAAGTCAATCGGATCAGATTAAGACCGACCAATAGCACTGCTATCATAGCTATTAGCAGTTTCAGATGCAGTGGATTGGCTATAGCTAAAAAGACAGACGATTCCATTTATACCTCTCAGTTTCGATCTCCAATCATGAAGCACATCAAGCAGCATGGCGAAAATGGACTTCGTAAAGTCAATTCGAGAAGGAGGCGACATAGGCGAGCAAAATGGCATTCCTGTCCGAAACTTCACGATCTCATCGACGCGGTGGTTCGTGCGAACCAAATTAATACTATCAGCAAGGAAAAGGCTCTTCAAATGGCTACATTAGCATGGACAAGTTGCGACTTCAAGCACAACATTTTTTCTGACGTTCGTAGCTTAGTTGTAGGATTTTCCCGTTGAATCTTTAAAAATGCACGAGAAACTCCACTTCTTCCAACACAACGGCATTCCTGTCAGCCTTAAAACAGCTTCCTGGTTAAGATACATGGAAACAGTGCAGCACGACATCTTACTGCTACCTGCTCGTCAGCGCAAGCAGAGTAGAAAACGAAAAACAAAGACAGTAGCAAATAGACTGTTAACACGCGAGATGCTCCAGCAACCGGACCAACACTCCAAACCAATGACCCAGAACGAAAAACGAAACACAGCGAAGAGTAAGCGAGCTACAAGTAAACCGTCGAGGGGACAGCACCACGAGGAGCATAAGCAGGAGCATAAGCATGACCACAAGCGCGTACAGAAGCAGGACCAGCGGCATGAACTGGAGCTCAATGCAGAAGTGTCGACCCAACAAGCAGTCCTGTATGCGGTAACGTTGTTGATCTTTTTCTTTTAATACACTCCATTATTTGATCGTTCTCGTTATTACTATTTTAAAAAGCTAAAATCGGAATTTGCAGAAATTCCAGTGTACGTGTGAAATCGTACATAAATCGTCGTCGTCTTATAAAAATAAGTCAAATTTGGACTTAAACTGGCACATCTGCAAAATGGGCTCGAAATTTAAGCCGCTACTACAAGCTAAAAATAGCTCGTTCGCGTTGTTCCACACCGCAATACAATGTTGAATTCCTGACGTGTTTGAAAAACGATGAGGTACTAGTGTTCTGGATTCTGAAAATCGGCAAGTTAATTCAGAATTTGGATTAGAAAAACAGTACATCTCCGGTAAGTTCGCCCAACGTAAAAATCCAGCTCACTGTTTAAGTACGCACATCTGACAGCAAATATTGCAGCATTTCAAGAACGAAGTATTTCAATTATATACTCACAATACAAGTAATGAGATGAAGCATGTGTCCAGTATCCAACTAAAAGTGTCCTGATAATAAACTAGACCAATTTTAAAATAGGCATAGAATGATTCTTGGACACAGTCTCATATGCAATTGTGTCCTTGAAAATAGTTTTACTATGGTAAAATTTCTAGGGTAAAAGTAATTTTGCCATTACAATTTTGAATTAACTGGCACCAAAACCTGTGGGCTTCATGGCTGTTGGTTATTTTTAATTATTGTGTTATTTGTGAATTTTGGTATGTGCCCTCTCCCCCTGTCGTGTCATTTTGGGAATGACGTCTCCAACAGCACATTGTCCGTCAAATGCCCATTCTCCTCCACAACTAACTGCCGATGCACGTATCGATGAGACTGATGCTGTAGAAGGCACAATGCAACTTTCTGCGCAAGCGGAAGGAGCGAAGAGCTCTACGATGTAGAACGCCTCTACGCCAAGCGCTGAGTTCATAATTTAGAGTTTTATCTGGTTCAATGGGTTAGTTATCGCAAATTAACATGGGATCCCGCCAAAAACCTCGAATTTGAGCAGCGAACGCGTAGCGAATCAGGAGTAACGACTTGCTTAAGTTCGTAAAAATGTGAACACGAACTTAAAATGTACTGGAAACAGCACTATTAAAAGTCGCCTCCTTTTTTAAAAAACAGTGCTCTAGAACTGGATTATGGAAATTCCTCGTAAAACGATCGCTTTCTCAAACTTAACCTTTTGTCACGGACAAACTGGCAGTTTACCTTAAAAACGATACTCTGATGATTCATGATAGCAATCCAGCCTACAGGGCTGAGAGAATGAGTTTATTACTCTAAAGGTGTTCGGCCGTGTAGTTATAGAAGACGGTATTCTCGAAATCCGCGTGACAGAACGGGAAGGCCTTTTCGCTGTCCGAGGGGTCGAACAGCTCTTTGCCGGTCATGTACGTGACGTAGCAACCGAGGACAAAACACACCACGAAAACAATAATAGCCGCCACCTTCTCGTAAATAGCAACGCGCTCCCACGACTTGATAAGGTAGAAAAGGACCGGCAGCAGGATGCAGTTCGTGGTGATGCATGAAGCGCCCACGAAGTCGGCGAACTCGGTGAAGTGGTCCTTAAAGGCAATGGCCATTGCCACCAGAATGACGACAATGATGATACGCAGAATGACGTACTTGATGACGTTCGCGCCGGTGTATTCCGCTGCCTCCTCCTCCTCGTTGTCCTTGTGCACACGCTCCGAGTCAGCGACCGACACGTACGACATCCTGGAGCGGCGGTTGCCCAGCTGGCGTCCCGAGTTGCCGGCCTCCGAGGTCTTCGTAACGAGTTCAGCGGGGGTAGTGACCTCTTCGAAAGCGAAGCCATTCTCAATGTCCTCGGTCTTCTTCTTGTGCATGCCCAGGAACACGCGCTCAGAGATGTAGAAGGCCGGGTTCAGGATAACGGCAAAAGCAATTGTAAGATGAAGCTGCATGAACAGGTAGGCGAGCACCACCATGCCCCAGTCCGGCTTGAAGCCCAACGACGTCATGCCCGTCTCACTGTCCGGGTAGATCGTGAAAAGCAGGTTACCCGAGATCTGGCAACCGACAGCTGAGTACGATGTACTAGCGAGCACGAGGAAGAGAACCGAGACGAAGCCGACAGTGACAAGCACGACGCGAGGCATGCGGGTGGGGTCGCTGTGCTGACGCTGGATGTCGGGGATGACGATACCGGCGCCGTACGCGAGCGTGAGGTTACCGAACACGCCAACTACCTGGGAGAGCTTCAACTCCGGGAACGGAACGCTGGGGTGACCACGCATGCCGTACATGACGAGTGCAACTGCAATAACGTCGGCAATAATAGTTCCCATGCAGCCAGCGAAAGCAGAGCCCGAACCTTCCTTGAGGGTTGGCACGAGACAGACCGGCAGCACTGTCAGAGCCATGAGGATGATCCAAGTGGTCTGGCTGAAAGCATCCGTGAAGAGGCCGTCCAGCAACTGACCCCCAAGAACGAGGAAAACGCACGGGATCAAGAGGCAAGAGCCCATCTGAGAGACAATGCACAACCAGCGGCCGGTCGTGCCCATGGCCCATTCGCCGAGGTCACCGAACGTCTTGACCGACCGCGGGGCCAGCAGCATAACCTTGGACATGGAGAGAGACGAGTAGATGTTGGCGAACGCCATGAAAGTCATGGCGATAACGGCGATCACGGGTCCGGAGCGGGCAAAGTTACCCGGCATACCAAGCGTTCCAATGCCGTAGATACAGCAGAAGAGGTTGAAACACGACTTCAAGTCTTCACCCGTTAGGAAAGGCCCTTTCGCCATGATGATGAAGCTTTGATCCGACGATTGAAGTCGAATTGGTGTATAGTAGAGAAACCTGCGACCGAGGCGGCGGAATTGGAAATGAACAAGGTAAAGTTAATCGCGGCCACGCGGCAACTTCGACGTTGAGGAACATGAGTGCACAAACAAGTCTCGTCCACTTTGTCAAACCAGCTGGGTCACCCCATGCATGTAGGATATGAGCAGCTGGAGTGCATAACACAAGACTACAGCTCACCTTTCCGCAGGTGTTGAAGCGTACACTTTTATAGCTTTCACTTGTTTTCGTACCGGTACCGCATATTATTAAACATAGATTAAGTGAGTCGGCGTTGAAGCATTTCCTATTTAATCCGCTCTTTTTTTATCTCAAACTCTGCTGGGTGATCCTACGGATAGCGTAGTTAATGGTAGCGCATCGTCCGGATATGGTACAGGACCGGGAACTTCCCGGCTCTGTACTGAAGAAGCTCTGACGGTGTGCGCGCATGTTTTGATATTCCATGTGCAGCACAGTGTGCTGGGCCAGCACTCCTGGCGTCTACTGTATATATACTTCATTTTGAAATTTATTTTAGTACTGTATTACATTTTAATACATGTACAATGAAAGTCGATATGTATTGCAGGTGCTCTGAACATATTACATGTACATGTACCGTTGTTTGCCTTTCAAACCCCATATATAGTTTCGTCAGTTAAATCGGTAATTTAAAATAAATTTAAACACGGTCTGGAACACGACATTTGGGAGTAGTGTAGTTCAGTCATGTGTTTAATCACGTTGCTACTTGAAAGTCGGATTAGAATTGTTTGATGAGACCAAAATGTGGTGCTACCAAACAGCTCGTGATTAAACTTTAATGCGGGACTTTTAATTAGCGTTTTGGAAGGCACCTATTACTGCACATGTTTCTCGTCTAATCAAAATGTTCAGGTTCTGTTTAGACGAAAAAATACAAGTAAGAGTTCATTGCTGCTGCGTGATGCTCATACAGTACATGTAGGTTTCAATCTTTGGGGGTCGTACAAATGCACGATAATACATTATGCACTTTAAAACTGTACATGTAGTGCAGATTACGGTTTCCAACAAACATGCATACAGTATGTTTTGTTTACAAGTATGTAAAACACAACATCTGGTGCACAGTACATTTTTCGCGATCGCGTGTTACGGGCTCCGCTCACGACTGACGGTGACTACCATGTACCGCATAAATTCCTCGAGTTGAAACGCGTTGAGCTTGTCCCCCGTTTCAGCGGTTTTGGTAAGGATGCTAATAAATGAGGCCCGGAGCCAAAAAGCGCCGCTTATTGATTAAAATAAGCGGAGACTTGGCGGATGGATGTTGCGATTGCATGATCGCCACAACCCAGATGTGCAGCCACCTTGCAAAGCTATCAAGCATTTGTATCAGGAAAACCTCCGTATATATCTAAGAATCAACTTCAATAACGACGCTGCGAGAGTTGGCCTCGATATTAAATTAATATTATTAATACATGTACAGTAGAGGTCGGACAAACGACAGAGCTCAAGCCAATTTACATGTGCAGCATTTTTTGGTTGAGTGAGTGCGACCAAATTCGCCTTGAAGTGACTTTTTCTGCAATCGTTCCCAAACGATGCCTTTTTGTTAGCTTCAACAAGAAATTTAAAATATAAATACTGTAAAGTAACCTTCTAAAAAAATTGGAGGTGCAAGGGTTAATGTCGTTAAATGCTGTGTTTGCATCAGTTGTGCTTATCAATCCATTTTCTTGAGGTACACTTTACTTCCACTTTTGGGGGCATGATTTTGTTTTATTAATAGGGCTTATTAATAGGGTTTAAGGGTTTGTGGTCCACTTCTAACACCATTTTCTATTTTAAAATGGCTAGCTATCACAATGTAATTGGGGGGATACTGTCCGGCACCGGCAAATTATATTTATATAGCTCAAGTTCGTTAAGCTCGCACAATACCGGAAACCAACAGAAAGGTGCGGAGCTACAAACCGCATTGGTGTATCACCAGGATCAAGTCCATACAAATGTCGTATATGTGTTGGTGTTAGCTGTTACCATTGCCGTGCACTATACTTAGCTAAATTATGGTCATGGGTAGTATGGCGCAGTGTTCACGTGGCGCGTTTCCACTAATTCCGTATTTCTACAGTGACATAGCACCTTGCGCTAGAGGAAGTTGGCTTCCGAGAGTATACAAACTTTTAATGAACAGTAGTTCACAAGTCCCTTTTCACCTAAGGGAGCGAAGTGACAAATTTAAGGTAAGTTGTAAGCTGAATGTATTTATAGGTATGCTAAGCTTAAGGTAAATAAACAAACTATAAGTCACCTTTAGTAAAGCTATGTCATCAGCCAATGGTGGGCCTCTGACGATCCTGGTACCATGTACCAGATATCCCGAAGAGTGACGTGTCACAATTCATGTTACTTAGAGGCACACTTGGGTTACGTACCCCGCTATATCCTCCCCCAGTTACGCTCGGTAGGAAGTGTACGTCACAAACTCTCATTCTCAAAGTCGAAATACATCGACTTGGCTGCGCGAACGCGGCGGAGGCTCACTTTACAGTTAGAGCCTCGAGCAGCTTTTGAGCGCTCTTCTCCTCGGTCTCCACATCAACCTTTAGCATGACTCGTGGCACTGCGAAGGGCGGTGCGAAAACACGCTCCAAGGCTGCTGCCGGAAAGGCTCAAGCCAAGAGCGCTAAGCCTCGCGGTAAAGGCTCTGCACTCCAGGAGGCTGCTAAGGTGGCCTCGGAGGTGATCGGCTCGTCTTGTCACGCGGCTGTGAGCAAGCCTGCGAGCAGCCGTCACCCTCGGTCTCTCCGGACAACCCGCTGCACGCACGGTTCGCTAAACGCAAGTTCAATTCGGGCAGCCGGGACGAGTCCGAGTCCGGGAGCACTCACGATGCTCCTGTGGGCTCCGTGGGAGGGCATACCCCAGTGCCCAGCGAGCACGACAACGACAGCGTGCACGCGCTCGCTAGTGATCACGATGATCACAGTCCCAGGACGTCTGTGCGCTCTGAGAGTCCTGGCGTCAAGGCTAAGGACTCTCCCAAAGCTGGCGACGACGAGTAGGAGATTCTCAAACATCTCTCGCTCGCGGAGGGTCTTGTGCGTGCTAAGGCCGCCAAAGCCGAAGACATCAAGCCCTTTAAGAAGCGCACGGCTTCGAAGTCTCCACTCCGCGAAGAAAAGGAAACTGGGTACTCCTATCGGAACCTCTTCGGTTCCTCGGATGAAGAGAAAAAGGAGGAGGAGGGTGCTATTCCTGAGCCCCGGGAGATCTCGAAAGACCTCGACCAGCAGCAGGAGGACTCCCCAGTTCCCAGCGCATACGTGGGGGTCCGGTGGTGGGACCCTTCAACCAGGGAGCTGCCATCAACTCAAGAGGTTATTGGCCTCCCGAGGAGAGCTCTGGGGCTGACCGCTTTCTGGATACACTCGTCGCTCCTCGTGGCATTGTTGGTGGCCACACTTCTAAGTGCGTTTACGAACGTGCTCTGGTCCAGAGTCCACATAGAGCAGTTGTTCGTCGACAACTTGGAGGCGACCCGGTGCGTGCTTCTCGTGCCGCACTTAATCCCTCTGAAGGACTTTACAACTTGTCGTAAGAAGCCCGAGAACTGGGTTGCCCTCTCTGGGGCTACCCCTGGACTCTTCCCAAGAGCTGTCTCAACTGGAGCTCGTGTGAGGACAGATTCTGGGCGTGGGTTGAGTCTCTCAAGTACTCACCCCCGGCGTTACGGGTACTCCATGAAGATCAGCTTCTGTCCCGCATCCTAGACCAGCGCCACCTTCGTGTCCGGTTCGCCCACTTGGTCAGCAAGCGCATGCTGCTAAGGGACATTCTGAAGCGCGCGGCTTCTAGCACTCACGAGCGCGGGTACAGAGTGTCGTCAACGTCCGTACCCCGTTCGGGCAAGAAGCCCCAGACTACTTACGAAGATGCCGCCGCTTCTGTTCTCAGATCACGACAGCCTTAGGGCCGTCTATCAGGAGCCGTTCAATTGGCTCCCACGAGTTCGCGGAGTGGGCATAACCCTCCACTTCACGAGGAACCGTCGCTTACCGCAACACCGCTACCCCTGAAGAACCCGCTCTACGTGGTAGTGGACTTCTCCGTTCCGGTCAAGCAGGGGCGGAGGTTCCCGGGTATGAGTACGAGTACTCGGCGCCTCCGGAGCGCTACTTTCGTCCGGGTGCTTCTCCGGGTCCGACGCAGGGCTATGAGGTTGACCGCCTCCGTCAACGCGTCCTCGTGCTTGAGATTGCACTTGGCCTTGGGACTGGCGGTGATACTGCCACCCAGGCCAAGAACCAGGGCGTGCTCGCTCGTCTTGCGGGCCGCCTGCACCTGTTGGGGCGGGTGGCCTCGAACCTGCATCTGCCGGTGGACCGGCGGGCCTCTTCGTCCGATCTTGACGAGGACTTTCGCATGGTACGACGTGTTGAGACTCTGCTGACATGTCCCACGTAGGTTCGCGTCGATCAACAACCCAGCTGAAATGTTCAACGCTTTGATGAAGAGAGCTTACAC